TATCCCAATTGGGTCTGCTGTAAGTGAACGGTAAGGGTAGGTACCCAATTCATGTTAGCGATTGCTCTCTAAGGGTTCGTAGTCTCCCTGGAAGTTGTATTAGACTGCGGAATCAAAGTTCGCCTGTATTAAGGTTGTATTTCCCTCATTCCTGAGGGTGGTGCGCGCGATTGAGGAAGCGACTCAGACTGACCAGTGTCTGAGTCGTAGTTCAGAGTAGGACTGGTGGCAGCCCCCACTCAAGGGTCTATAAGAAAAAGTAATGGCTGCATATTTGCATATTCAAAGTGCTCTATATTGTATTTGGTTGTCTTATAAAGAGAAGTGTGTTCGGGGGTGTTGGCTTCAGTCATAGTGATGAACTCAGAGAGTGAGTCACACGCTAAGCACACAGACTTCCTACAAACTTTTTACGGACGGACAAGACCAAGAGTTGGGTTCAACCGACACGCCAAACTCCGAAGTCCCAAGAGGTTCTCGGAGTTTTGACCCTCTGTGCATCCGAAAGTCTCGGGATCAGATCGAGCACTGTACCGCAAGGGATGAAAGTTTCACCGACTTCACCACACATCGACGATGATGAAACATACCCAGCTGAAGACTCCGTCGACATGTTGGAGTTAACTTACATCACGTTGATGCAGGAGATTGAAGCTGAAATTGTTTCTGGTAACAGGGGGATGACGACGATTTTTACGAGCACATCCCGAACGAGATAGAACTAGCTGACTACGCTCACGAGTTAGCTTTTTTTGCCTGACCTCACAGCGTCCTTGTCGACGGTACTCGACTATACAGGACTGAACGTCACGAATAAGTGTCTGAGCGAAGACGAACAACGAAAACTCGTTGAGGAGTTAAATCGTCACGAAGGGATTATGATTGCTAGTGGTAATACGCTACCACCCCCGGCATACGGAGTGGTTTGCTACATTGATGCGTAGGGGCACATGACGATCAAACAAACACTACGAGTGCTAGAAAGGTGTACGAGTTGCTGAAAGGACTATTGCGTGCTGGATTGACCACGTTCTCAGACAGCCCATGGGCATCGCCCATAGTGATAATGCTAAAAAAAGAACGGGGTTGACATCCGATTGTGCATCGACTACGAACGAGTGAACGCTGTTACGACCATTATGTAATATACAATGCCTTGGGAGGATGATTTACTGACTGACATGGAGGCGTACTTGTAGTTTTGCTCGCTTGATGGAGCAAGTGGGTTGTGGGCTGTGATGATGACGGAGAGAGCTCGGAAGGTATCTACTTTTGTGTGCGCGCTTGGGCATTTCGAATGGCGCCGGATACCGCTCGGCCTCATGAACGCACCCATGGTTTACCAACGGATGATGGCCAACGCTTTACGGGGGTTCGTTCAACACAAAAGCGGTTAGAAAGTGTACTCTGAGCGTATGCAGTCCGCTGAACAAGACGCCGAACGTAACAAGACAGGGGTGACAGAGGGTTCAACGAGGACTCGTTCCACGTTTGAGGCCGACCGAGCGTCTGCATCAAATCCCGACTCTGTCTCAGAACTAGTCAATAATTCAGTGTGCGATATGTTTTCGAATGGTGAACCAGACCAGTCCTCGTTGGTACCAATATTTGACCAAAGGTCGTTCGTCAATGATATTTGTTTTGGGAGCGAGACGTTTGATGGATGTCTGCCAACCCTCGATCGATTGCTCCAAAGGTTTGCTGAGTGCCGAATCAGTGTCAGCTTCACTAAGAGCATTTTGGTTCATTCACGAGTCGATTTATTGTCGCACGAAGTGGCCCGAGAAGGGCTGCGAGCAGACGCTAAAGTGATTAAATTGATTAAACAGGTGACCGAGTTCTCGTTCCCGACCAGTAAGAAAGGCATGTAGTCCTTTTAGGTGCACTCAACTACTATAGTCGGTTCATCCAGGACCTTGCCGTCTACGCGGCGACGCGGCGACGCTGTACCAGCTGAAGGAGGAAGATTTTGAACCTGGCGGTGATCTGTGGGTCGTCTGACCGAGTTTTCCAACATTGCAACAAAAGATCAGTGACGCCCCAATTGTGCGCCATTTTGACCGGCGAAAAGAAGTTCATGTGACACTGTTTGCGAGCGAGTGGGGGTTAAGCTCCACCTTGATGCAAGAGCATGATGGCAAAATACACCCGGTCCGTTTTTGCGAACGTGTTCTGAAGGAGGCCGAGCTGAACTACCATCTGGCTGATAAGGAAGTGCTAGCTTTGCTGTCGCTGCTGAAGTCATGTTATACGCAGCTGGTGGGCCACACAATTCATGTGCACACGCGATTTTCACCACTGGAATGGGTACACACATCCAAGTCACTGTTCGGACGGACGACCCAACTCGCCGTAATGTTATCACCGTCGCACTTGGTTGTTAACCGAGTCAAAGAAAAATATTGAGTTTTCGCACAGCTACTGCAAGCTGGGTTAACGAGTTTTGTGGATTTGGAGAACGGTTACACCACCCACAAAGGGATCGTCTACCGTTTGCATGGACCCCGAGGTGCTATACGGTCGTCTACCGAAATTCAATTGTGGGTTCGTAGTTTCGTTCGATGGTTCAGCCACAACCGAGAAATACGGTGACTATGGCAGTTGCTCATGGGTTGTGTGGCAATTACCAGCCTGGACAATAGTCACCGCTACGAATTCTTATCTCGAAGCAACAACAGTGAACATGGCCGAATACGCTGGCATGAACAATGGAGTTCAGGCGGCTCTAGATATCGGTGCCACCGACTATGTGATTGTTGGTGATTTTAGACTTGCAATCCAGTAGTCACTAGGGGTGATTGCATGTAAGAAGGAAACACTAATGACCCAACCCAACCGCCACCGGGAGCTTGTTGCTCAACTGAAGTCAGTACGAGCGTATAATACGTCTGCTGACCCACTGGCAACGGAAGTAGTGGGAAATAAGGCGCCTAGCGTTATATCTACTGAGCCTAGGCTGGCAGAGCTGAGATTGTTGATTCGCATCCAAGAGGTCATCTATGCACCTATCACCGAGTCCTCGGTGGATGAACCCTCGGTTAGCATCGCACAATCTCAAGTTCAAACGCGACATTTGCGACACATGAAACCGTCACAGTGATCCGGAACCGACCCGGACCCGCGTCGAACAAATTTTGTGCGAGATGACGAGAGGGAGATAAGGAACCTAACGGTAACGACCAGGCTCCAAGCTAAGTCAAAGTACAAACGCGTCAGATTCGCCGTCGAAACCTCGATGGCAGGTGAAGAAGATGCAACACAACGAGAGGAAACCAACGGTGTGCCAACGGAGGACTCAGCCCATCCGGAAGCAGAGTTATCGAGGGCAACGGAACCCAACTGTGATACCAATGTGTCGCCAAACGCAAAAGGGTTGGATCCACTAACGGTCCAAAGGGAACGTCGAAGAAGGCCAACGACCGCTCAGGATGAGGAGTTGCGATGGGCGAATTTGAAGACAGTTCTCCGCGGGGATGAATCAACGCTAACGCACCGTACAGCAAGAGACGCGTGGAAAATGTCCGACCACTTCGTCCTAAGCGAAGCCAATATGCTATATAATGTGGGAGCGAGGCCTCTGAGAAGTGGCCAACAAGCGATGCTGCGTCTAGTAGTACCCTCAACGATGATTCAGGAGATACTACAGAACTGTCAGGACTCGTTGGAAGGAGGTCACCAAGCTATCGTACGCACTTTCTACAGAGTGAAACGGGACTATTACTGGATCGGTATATACGCAGACGTGGGGAAGCACGTGCAGTCCTATCCCGACTGTAGCTCAAGCAAAAGTCAACCGAAGATCCGCGTATATTCTCCAGGGAACATACTGGCTGAATGACCGTTTCAGGTCATTTCGGTGGATTTTGTGATTCCCTTACCGAAGTATCGGTGGGGCAACACAGCGCCATTACTGTTTCAATGCGCATTTACGGGATTCGTGATGGGCAAAGCCATGGCAGACACGACTGCTCTGAGAGTAGCTTAAATTTTTTTAGGAATATGTGGACCGAAGCTTCGCTGCACCCTCCCTCATCAGACATGCCAGAGACCCACGACTCATGAGCGAGGTGTTTCCAATCGTTTACCGAAAGGATGCAATCAAACGGCCAACAGGAGCGCTCGGTCACGACCGTCATGCAATCGGTGCGCCTGTACAGAAGACCCACTGCAACAGAACTGGGAGGAGATCGCCGAAAAGCTGATCTTTACTATCAACAACTCGATGAACACAACGAGGAAAGAGACACCTTTTTCCGTGTCTATGGATGGGATGTTCAGTCTACATTCAAGGCGATGTCCTCGTCGCTCAAACGAGGCCTCGGTCGAAAGTCGGACACACTAGCGTGGCGTCGAGAAGTAAATCACCAACAAGAAATAGCGTTGGAAATGGTCAAGGAATGCCAGGCCACCGAGAACACTCGGAGAGCAAGGCAACACAACGAAGCTCTCCGTGGTAGAGAAAGAGGTATGGCCCCAGAAACAGGCCAAACCGCAGCTTACTCGAGCTGAAGTCGAGACATGATTTCACATGTTTTCCACATCTGCGTAGTGACCGATCCAGTAGTAGTCGTGTTTCACGCTTTGGTAAGAGCGAACGACACCTTGGTGCCCTCCTTCGATGGAGTCATGACAGTTGTGTAGCACCTCTTGGATCAATGTGGTTGGCACCACAAGCCTCAACGACATCTCGGGTTGGTTTTCATCAACCTTTCTTCTGCTCACACCCGTGTAGTACAAGACATTGTCGCTTGACAACACAAAGTTGTCCGCCCACTTCCAGGCTTCTCGAGCCTCTTTGTAAGTCATCGCTGTGGTTTCTCCTCTCAGGACGGCTTTCAGGTTCGACCACCTGAGTTCCTCGTCCTGTGCCTTGGCGATACGGCGTCTTCGCTCTTCTTGCACTGTTACCGGATCAATGTCGTCGGCTGTTAGTTCGTGCCGAACCTCAGCACTTGGTCGCTGCTCTTGTGTTTCCGAGTTCTCGTTGACTGCCTCAGTTGCCTCAGTGTTGATCGTTCTTTCAGGAACTTCGTCCTCGAAGTGCACTCTTTTCTTCTTGGTTTTGGTCT